TGAATCATTAATAGAATAAAATTAATTTTTTTTGTAGGATTAAATATTTTCATACAATGAATGACCGCTTTCTTTTTGCATGTTATCTTTTCGTTATCTAATACATTTTATGAAAAGAAAGAAAAACAAAATATACGATAAGATACAGTCAAAAAAAAAGTTCGAAAATTTACAAAGAAAGGCTTATTGTTTTTTAATATTCAGTGGATATTTTTGCTATCTAAGCGATTAAAGAAACATGGCTTTTTATTTTATTCTATTTGCGTTTTACTGGCGATATTTTTCTATGCATAATAATCTAAATCATTGAGATCAAAATTATTTGTTGGCCATCTGCGTTTATCTTTAAAATGCACGATATATCCATTGCATGATGTTAATACATCTTCATGTGTGTTGAGGCTAGATGAGATCGGTACAGATTTTTGAAAAGTTAAATCACACGAAAACTGAGATCGATTTAAAAAGCTGTGAATCGAACCGAACGGATTCTATTTCTGGTAAAAAGCAATGAATTGTTTTATTAATAAATGAAATCACCGACGAGCAGCTGTTTTCTTATGAATTGAGAATGTCAAAAAGAACGACTTCAGTATAATCGTCATGTAATCATGTTTCACCAGATTTGAATATAATAACAGATGTAAGTTCATTTTTAGAAACCCCTAATCACGCCATAATTTTATTTAGATGTTTAGTCTTTTACTTGATGTCTTCTCATTCATTTACTTTCTATTGACCAGCAGCATAAACAGATTCTAATAAAACTTATTCGCAGTGTCGCAAAATTAATCTACAAGAATTTCTCCATGCCGTCAATATCGACTTAGTTTTATAATCAGCGATCTTTCGAATATTCTGATAGGTCGTGATTGAACGATGATTTCGTAACCGATTGTAACAGTAAATATTTATTCATAATTCTTTTTTCTTTTATTTATATCAATCCAGGTACTATAATAAAGAGAAAGTATTTATTCAGAAAAAAAGTTCTGTTTTTGTTAGATCAATATTAAGGTCAGAATGACCAATAAATATTATTACAACACATGTCGGGAACAAATTGATCTCTCTTGTGATTCATGAGAAACTTTTATTAAGTTGAGAGACAGTCATAGTTCTAGAGCCGAGTATTACGACTAGGTTTTATCATTGTAAATTTCTCATGGAAAATCGCTATTTTCTGTAAAAATCAGAAAATAAACCGAAAAAAATAAGTTTTTTTTAAGGTGATTCAAGCAGGACTTTAATCACATGAATCGTCTTTTTCTATAAAACAAATGATGTATGTTTAAGATACGCTGATTTTTGTAAATAGTAGATCTTTTCTTGATACATCTTATTGTCTATTTTGGTTTTTTAATCAAACATATTAGGTAACAAAAAAATGACTTGCCAAAAGTGATCATTCATATTGACGCACTCTTATTTCAGATATGATCGAAACATTACAAGTTTGATTTAAGTATTGAATGAGTACGGGAAAAATTATTTTGCCCTTCTGCAATGGTATTTGCGTTTCAAAAAATTAAAAACAGTAATATAAAACAAGTGTTAATATTCTCACACCGAACCATAGTAAATATAGCCCAAAAAGTGCTTTAGTTTATTGCAAAAGATAATGTTTTTTTTTCAGTACAAACAGTTCAGACAAACTCGTTTTGCAAAGAAACGAATCAATCAAAAACACATTAGTTCGATTAATCAATAAACAAAGATTTACAGAAAACAAAATATCACTAGATTTTATTTTTTATTGGTGGTTTGATAGAGTTAGTTATGAATATATACTTTTTTACTTTTATCAATTTCCTTTTATTGCTGCGAAAAAGCTCTTAATATCAATAAGACTATAGATAAGATCAAAATTACTTTTTTTTACAAATCAACTCTTAAGTTTTTATATCCTTCTGATCTTAAGTCTCTGAAGATATTTCTATTTCCTAATTTAGTATTAAAAACTGAGTAGAAATAAAAACTTAGTTAAAAAACAAAATAAACAGTATGTTTCAAGTCAGCATAGGAAGCTAAACCGAATTATATACATTTTAGCAAACTCTATTTTAAATAAAAAATCGACTAATCCATCCCCTTTAGCGAGACCCAAAGACAAAACTTGAGAAGAAAAATACTAATGGGCAGTACAAGTGCGTTTTCAGTGAAAAACTGGTTTCATTAAAACATATGTGGTCCATTGTAGATTCTCACGCTAACTTTCAATATGCTGGTTATTTTGTTTTCGACTGAGTCTTGATAATAACAATCGAATTAAACAAGGCCATTTTATGACCTTTTCATTAACAAAACTAGTAAATGCTTAATTTTCTCAATACCAGAATTTCCGAAAATATAACTAATCCAATGAGTACTTTTGTAGCTCGAAAAAGACGGATTGAAATCAGATAAGATATTTGATCTTAACTTCTCTCATTATATAAATAGATAGGCTTACAAAATTGTCTATAAATCCACATATATTGAAAGCGATTTTGTACGTTTTTCATTTTAAGTTTGTTTGTAAAAAAAAAAATTATTTTGGATTATATCTGGAGTCCGATCAGTATTTAAAGCTTTTTGCAACGAAACGAGAACTAATGGAAATAAAAAGGTATATATTCATAACCAATTATATGAAATCATTAATGAAAAAACAAATCCATTGAAATACGTCGATAGAATCAAATAATATTTCATTTAGAAGTATAAAGCCATAAGAAATTAGAAACAAGAGAAAAATAGTTGTCAAGAATGAACAATGATTTAAATCTAATCTAGATTACTGAACATAAAACAATTCAGTTTAACTATATATTTTTCTTTTTTTTTCATTCATTTCAATTAATTATTTTATTCGATTCAAATTGTATTCAAAAAAACTAATATTATCTTAAATATGAATGAAGTTAGATATTATCTTTACATTCATATAAATGAAACAATATCTAGTTTATTTATAAATTTTTAGTACAATATTATCAAAAAAAAATGAATTGAAAAATTTTTCAAAAAGTTTTCAATGAAAATAAATTTCCTGGAAAAACTGTTAAACTTAATCTTTTTTTATATATCATTACTATGAATAAATATTCCTAGAAAAGTAACAAAAATTTAAGTACAATGACAACAGCTTCATCGTCAGATTCTTCGACAATACATTTGTTGTGCTCTTTTCATTTAATTTTTCAAATTTATTTTAATATTGGAACAAATTATTACAAAAATAAGTCTATATTCTGAAAAGTACTTGAAATTCTCTATTATGTTATACTTTTGTCAACCTTGAGTTTCAATTATTTGAAGACGCATATTTTGAATATTGTTCATCTACCATCACTCTGACATCTTCACTCTCAATTACTCCAAATAATTCATACAACAGCCTACGAATGGTTATCTAGTAATCGAATGAGATTTATGAATAGTTGTTCACCAATCAATCCTGATCTTTATATTATTTAGAGTTTTTATTTTATGTTAGATGAACTACTGTGCACAGATATATCATCCAAATTCTCAACAAACTTGACCGAGGAATGTGCTACGTGAGTACATTAGCAATATTCGAAATAGTTGCTATCAAATAATTTAAAGTCAAGACTGGTAAAAGTACAGAATAACAAAGAATTTTATATGCTTTCAGAAAAATATACTTACCGTTTTAATAGCTCGTTCTAATGTTAAAAGAAGTTTTGAAAAAAATAAATGAAAATAGAACAAAAAATGCATTTTTAAAGAATTGAACGATCCGAATACTTTCACTGTACTGGAAATCTATTTTGGCGAATAAATGCCATATTAAAAAAAAGTACATATATACGATTATAGATTAAGTCCACCTATTATTTTTCAGGAAAATATGTTTCTTTTTTGAGTGTTGTTTAAAGTTATCATAAAATAATTTTTTCATAGAAATATTACCTGATGTTAATTCAATAATGCAAAACATGATGGAATTCCAACTGACTAGATTTCCATTATCTAGTGTCTACTTTATAATATTAATGAAACAGAAAATAGCATAAGAAATTAGTTTTATCAAAGAGTACTATGCTATAGTGAATTATTTTAGTTTTTTAATAGTTCATTAGATTTAACGTAAGAAAAAGTCAAGTTTTTCGCTTGGTTTTGCAACATTTTTATCGAGTACGACATCAAATAATTCCAATTTTCAATAAGAAAATATCAAAATACAAATGTTTAACTCTTATTTTAACAAACAATACATGCATTACACATACATTTTATACATTGTAAAAAATCGTTTTTCAATAACAGCTAATATACAGATAACAAAATATTTATTCATTTAAATAAGAAAAACATTGCATGTTGAATCACAGAACATTGCATAGTTTCTGTAATTGTTTAGCTTTGATATTAATACATGGTATCGGATAAAATTGTAGGACAAAACTTGAATCATTTTTGTTCATCAAATAATTAAATAAGAAAAAACATTTCGATAATAAATTATGCTAGTCTTATAAGAAGTAGTAATATCTATTGATTCTATACATATAAAAGCATATTTATTTGATCATAGATTATTCAATCAACGCATAGTAGCCTATATACAATATAGTAAATCAATATTCTCTGATAAATTCAAACAGAATAATATCTATGAAAACTAAATGTCTATTAAACAACGATTATTATTTCATTTAAACACTATATTAATGGTTTTTGTTGACTCTTTTTTATCATTACCATTTATCTGTATTTGTCCAAATATTCCCTTGTAGTTTCAAAATCTATTGATATCGTTAAGTTCGAGACAATAAAAATGTGGGCGTTTGTGAATAAAAAAAACAATATTTTGAGAACTTACACAGCTGTTCGATTTATACTATATAAGGAGAATTATTTTGGTTAATCCAAATCAATAAAGTACGAAAATCATATTCGCAGCACACATACCAATACCAATGTTGTCAAAAACCTCTATTATTATTTTCGTATGCTGTATTGCATATTCATTATCACAAACTTATAAAGAAATGACCTATTCTGATTGTGGTATGTAAAATACAAATAAACTTTCAATTAATGTTTATATCATATAATTAGGATCAAAAAATGTTCGAATCAATCGATTATCGTTTCAACCTATGCCTATTATTCAACCAGGAAATGGAAGACTTTCATTTGCAATTGCAGCTACTGAAAAACTTCAAGGTGTTATTAAAGCTAATATTAATATAGTACGTAAAGTTGGTGGCATTGGATTACCTGTTTCATGTTACATTGTTCAAGGTGAAAAAGTTGGCTCATGGTTAGTATTCGATATTGATTTTATTATTTTTTGCTACTTTTATTTTACAGCCAATATGACGACTTTTGCGCTTTATTGAAACGTGTCTTTAAATATGATTCAACTAATTGCCCAGCCGCTCTTACTCAACATGGTATTGATTGCAATTGTCCAGTGAATATTAATAGAAATGATCTTGATATCGACATGGATGTTACTTTACCTGCAGCACCAGAGTAAATATTTAATTTTTTGTTTTATTTTATATTTATTTATTTATCTATTTATTCTTTTAAGATATGCATCATGGTTAAGTGTCGGTGATTTTGATGTTAAACTTCAAGCAACTGTTGGTCAAATTGAGGGTTGCTATAACTTAAAATTTGCAGTTAAACCTGCTGGAAAACCTTAAAAAAATAAAGCTGGTTCAAAATTCTATTTCTTATTAATATAGATGTGTGTGTGTGTGTATGTGTGTGTTTATTATAAGCAAAGAGAAAGGATTATTATTTGTATTGTTAAATGAATTAATGAAAGGAATAAAACATGAAAAGTATTGATTGAACGCACACAAATAAATGTTTATGTGTTGTCAAAAAGTGGCATTGAGGAATTCTTAGAGTATATCCATTTGGAACTTCTGATACGAGTACTAATGAATAGTCATTTATCAATCAGAAAATGAGAAAGAAAAGCATGCACGAATGATGTGAATTACTACATGTATTGTACTGTTATCCTTACTGTATTGATCTGAAGAAAAGAAATATATTCATGGCAAAGCATAGAAAATATATGATGTTAATGACGATAAAACATATATTTCTGCCTTGAGCTTGATGCTAAGCATAATATAGAAAGAAGAGATAAACGAACGAATAAATAAAAGAGAAAAGAAAAAAGAATCAGTACAAGAAGAGAAAAAGAAGAATATTCCATGCTAATAAGATAAACGACAACTTCTACATGCATATCTGTGCCTGTCGATCACATAGCATATTTGTATATATATATATATCAAACGGTTCATTCTATCAGTTTTTTTTTCTTCGATATACTCAATCATATCATACTGATTACTAATAATCTTCATATTTGTAGATGCATTTTTATTATTTTTATCTTTCAATAGTCTTTCTTCTTTTTTCATCATCATGGGCTTATATTGTTGACGAACATGATGGTAAATGGTCATGGAATAATACAAAGTGTTTAACACGATCTAATTGGACATCATCATTAAAAGCGAATAATAATTCTTCTAAATTACATCATCCAGTATGGTTCATTTTTTATTATCTTAGTTATTGTGGTTTTTGTACAAGAGTTAAACCCGGTTGGGAATCTGCTGCTCAATATGCAGCAGGTGAAAAATTTTTTAACAAGGCAGTAAAACGAAAAAAAAAAAGAAATTGGACTTTGTAATTTTAGGTTGGTCAAGATATATTAAAATAGGTGCATATGATTGTACTAGTGGATCGACATTAGAAAATGATATTTGTCAAGATAAAACATATCCTCAATGGCGAATATATTGTCCATTAACAAATTCAACTCAATTAGCATTTGATTCAGAACGAATAAATGTAGATACGAAACCTGAAGATATTTTAATGTGGTCAATAAAAAAAATGAATAAAATTGCACATCAATGTTATGGCAAATCTTGGCCAATTCGAAATGCCATTGAGTAATTATTTCTTTTTTTTTCAACAGAACAATCAACCATGAAAAATCTATTCATTTTTAGACCAAAGAATATTGAAGATTTAAATAACATAATTCCAAAACGTATAAAACAATTTCAATTATTCGTTTCCGATGATGTTCTACTTTATAGTCTTGTAAATATTTTTTATTCATATTTTATTTTTCATTTAAATAAATAATTCATTCTTTTTAAGTATGTCTTAAACAATTCAAAAACTGTTTATCAAGAGCCAATTTATCGTTTGGCTATAAAAAATTTCATTACACAAGGTACTGGTATTTGGAAAGGAATGAAAAATGATGATGGACAAATTTCACTTGAAGAGTTAGTTGAAAAAGATTCATTTGAAAAATTATTTTCAATTTTATTTTTTAGAATTAATTCAACAAAAGCAATGGATGATTTTGTATTAAATGAAAAGAATACTTCTCATACCAATAAATCTTTAGTGTAATGATATGTTTATCAATATTTCAATGATATAGCTTTGTTCTTTTTCTTTTAGAAAAAAAATCGGTTCACTAAAACCGACATTAACTGATATTGATAGTGCTGTGATTTGGATGATTAAAAAAGATCTTCAGAGAAAATTACCAAAACTATTTGATGATGTTAAAGCTTGGCTTAATGCAGTTTATACGGTAAAAATGAAAATTTTTTAAAAAAATAGGCAAAAAAATTTTTTTTTAAATAGTATTATCCTGGAAGTGATTATATGCATAATTTTCTTAGTGATTTAATCAAGTTTATGAATAATCGTACAACATTATCATCAAATGAACTTAAAAATTATATTGATTCAACATCGGTAATTCTATTTTATTTATAGTTTTGACAAAATAGATGTCTTATAAAGAAACGTCACTAAGTATGACTCGCCAATCGAAATGATATTCTGCAAATAAGTAGATCTCGACGATCTAATAGAAATCTATAAAAGTTTATCATTTTCGCGTTATTATACTTTTACTGCATTGTTTATCTTTAGTCACGGCATTTTTTGAAACAATCAAATTAGAAAATTTGAACCTGAAAATTGATGAATAGATAGATCTTGTGAACTATAGAATGCCTTCAACATGTTAGCCAAAAGAAATGTATTCTTCTGGAAATATAGAATGTTGAAAACTAATCTTTCTTACCTTTTCTTGTCATACATGATTATTTTTGAATATGCAATGTCTCATGAAGAATACATCTCTTTAGGCTAAAATTTTCAAGATATTCTAAGACTCACAAGATCCATCTATCAGCAAAATTTTGAGGTTGAAATTTCCTTATTTGATTTCTTCACAAATATCTTTCTAAAGCTAAAAAGTTCAGTAAAATTGTAAGAAATTAGGAAAGATGAACTCTTATGGGCTTCTAATAGTGTCTCATCGGGATTTACTCATTTACAACATGTCAGTTCGATTGGCGAGTCACATTTGGAAACCTTCCTTCGTTCGTCAAAAGAAAAAAATTCGCATACGATTTCTGGAACTTCTAATTATTTTGATGAATGTGAAACGCTAAGCATTTGTTTGATGTTAACAAGAAGGATTAAGATATATTTTTATAAAATATTATGAAGTATTGAATTACCCTATCGATGCCAATGAATGAATTTTACAAGAGAAAAAAAAAGAAAGCAAAATTCATCATGATTCATTCGAAAAACAAAGCATATACATTTTTATTTCTACTTGGTTTTCATATAGATATTTTTCCAATATTAACATTTGAATGTATAAATTTAGGTTTAAACATCGAGATATTTTCTTTGACAAAAATGATACAAATCATTTTTAATAATAAAATTCTTCGTTTCTTAACTTCCGATACTTCATTATTGATTTCAACACAGATTATTTCATGAAAATGATGAAATAAAAAAGCAGAAAATATTGAATTGTTTTAGATATTCTTTATTCAAAATACAAACTTATCAAATGCCTATTCACCAGATTCGTATAGATAAAGCATTTGTCGACATTTCAATCTCATAATCTAATCATGGGAAAAATAGATCTATATGTATAAACGGTGACCCATATTAAATGACTGCACTTTTCATTGCATATTTTAATCTCTAAACACGTTTTGTTAAAAAAAAGAATGTATGACAAAATGCAGCGTGAAAAGCTCTACGATCTTCAGAGTAAAGTTTATTTTAAGTTTACTTTTTGTTTTTAAAATAAGCAAAATTCTGTGAACGACATCATTTGTTTGAGATGATGAAATTCCTTTTTGCTTATTTTATCAATTAATGAATGGTTATTTTCAAATCTATCCCATAGCATATTATGGGCAATATAGCATTCCATCCGTAATAATGAGAACATTGAGATTAGAACTATTTGGTGGCCACCCATGATTGTCTATAAGAGGCATGAAGTTTTTTTAAACTATGCGACTTGTTTCTTATATGTATGTAACTTGATGAACTCTTGTTGACATGTGAACTCAACGTCTAGAAGCTGTTTGCCTTTAGATTGTGCTTGTGGAAAAACAACTTCATCATAATTTTCATGTAATAATGTTTTATCAGATATAAATATAATAGTAGGCGTAAGGCCATTTTTAGATGTACATAAACACACGCTAATTCTTTTTTGGATACTCAGCGTTTAGATTTATATTTCTTATTCGCCTGTTTTTTGTCAACTGGCAATGTAAACACGTTCTAATGAGAAATATTTTTCTGTCAACTAATAGAATTCTCCACAATCGATGAGATGAGAAAATGAACTAACCGATTACTGAAAACTGATTATGTGTACAGCATCAAAAATTGGTTGCACAGACTTTTGCTTATTTAATTTATTTTAAAAAACGAATTTAGAGATTAAAATATAAAATGCAAAGTGCCACCATTTATTATGCGCCATCCAGTATATATATGGACTATTTTAAACAATATGAGACCCGTCTACCTTCTATTTGACTTTGACTCTTTATGAAGGTTATTTTTCTGTATAAGTTCTTTTAACATAGACAGATATGAAGATACTAGCTCATTCAGCTAGCTATTCATTGTACTTAATTAATTAAGCCTTTAGTAGCTATCTTCGTATATATATATGTCATGAGCTTTATGATCACAGAATACTGATGATATCTCTAATAATGTGTATATTTTCGATATATTTGTGTAAAAGCAAACGTCAAACAGCGGAAGCTTTTCATATTATCATGTTATCAGAACCTATGTTGGACTTCGGCATAAAGAAACAATCATATATCTGGTGCAAAGTTACGCTATTTTGCAGATGCATATTTCTGGTTGATAACCAAAAGTTTAATTATTTAATTAAATTAACTGACTAGTCAAAATTGATTATATAGTGAAATTAAATAAATAAATTAATAGTAATTAGCAATTATCTTTCTAATGTACGAGAAAAGAATTCAAAAACTTCAGAATAGATTCTACAATATGAAGCTCTTCGTTGGTGAAATTTTCAGCAAAATCGAACGTAAAAAAATTTTCCATTAAAAATCGGTTTTCTAGAAACCTATCAAGTCTCAAAACAATACTTATTATCTGATCATTGTTTAGACATTTTGAAGAAGATTTTGTACCGTTTAGAATTGGTTTTAAATCTCTCATTCCTTAAAGTGAAAGTCAACTTTCTTTTTTTGTATCAGGTCACTAACGCTAGCTTTTTTACTGATAATTCTTCTAAACAGAAGTCTGTAGCACTGATTTTTTCTGAATATCTAGAAAAACTTAGCATACATGTAACCTATAAAACTTAGCTCTAGGAAAGTTCATTTATTTCGAGATACAAGTGTTTTAGTTTTGCAAAGTCACGTCGCTAACGAATGATTTTGCTCCTATATTCTATAAGAAGGAAAATTTTCCATTGTTTTGAGTCTTATTATAATACTAGTTAAATTTGAAACATTCATTCTATAATGAAAAATATTTTAATTCTTAATTTATTTTAATAGGTAATCAAATTACCAGAAGTGAAATTCGATCACTGTAATGGGTCTGATACGAGTAAACGTGGTTATACATGTTCATTATGGCTTTTATTTCATAGTATGACTGTTAAACAGGCAATACTTCATGAACAAAATTTATGTAAGTTCATAAGAAAAATAAATTCATTAAATATTTTTTTTAACTTCAACTTTTTAATTAGTACCATCAAATGTAAAACCATCAGATATATTCTTATCAATTCGCGAATATATTCGAAATTTTTTTCTTTGTGAAGAATGTGCTAAGCATTTTCTTAATAAGACATCGAATGCTGAACATGAAATAAAATCTTTTAAAGAAAGTGTTTTATATTTTTGGCGAGGTAATCAATGTATTATATTTGATTATAACAATTCTAAATTATTTTATTATATAGGTCATAATAAAGTAAATAAACGACTACAACATGAACAAATGTCAAATGATCCAGCTTGGCCAAAAGTACAATTTCCAACAAAACAACAATGTAATTCATGTGTTCTTCAAATAGATGAAAATAATGATGCTCTAGAATATGATGAAAATGAAACATACAATTATTTAAAAGATTATTATAATTTACAAAATATTACTAATCAAAAAGTTTTATCTAATAAAACAAATACAGCAACAAACCGACAATATAATCATTTATTATTAATTATATTTACATTTATTGTTACCTTTTGAACAAATAATAGGTTTCGCTTAGGATAGAATTTTGATTTTGTCTATGATTTGCTATTACCTATCGATTATATGTTACAAATCTTTTTCTGTTTACTTATTTTGGCATTCGAATAAATAAACTAAAGACTCTCATGATTATGGATAAATTATTTTGTATTGGTCTCAAATAATAATTTTCTTTATTCATCCTAGCTTTTGAATCATATTAATAGTATAAATACTGTTGGATAAGATCGTAAATCTTTCACTGTTTCAGATTTTACTTTCAATAGATTAGAAAGATAGGGCATGAAATTTTGTATAATTTTATGTATTTTGTTTTTGTTTTGTTGGAAGCAAACAGAAATTTTCAAGGACTAAATAGTCTTAGCGAGGTTTATCACTTTTGGACGCTACGAATAATAACTATCGTACACTAATGATTCATCGATTATAAACTTAATATGACAAATAATAGCGTTGATCAATGCGGTTTTTTACGCTAGATAAATTAACATATCGATTATGTTCATTGATTGATTTATGCAACGTCAGATAGATACGATAACATATACTATTTGACCCTGGATATATTAATCTATGAATCTAATCGATATGTTAATTTATCGAGCATAACAAACTGTATCGATTTACGTTAATAGTTTTTATATTGGATTTATAATAGAAAAATCACGAGTACCATAGTTGTTATACGAAGCGTTCAAAAAAAAATAAATCTAGATAAGACTATTTCGTTGTCGAAATTTTGTTTTGCATTCAGCGAAAGTCAAGCAAATAGGCAGAAATATGCAGAACTTCAAGCTCTATGTTTCGAACCTATTGAAAATGACATATCAACAGATGACAAGTTCACGATGTCATCTTCCGGTGCCTTTTCTTAGATCAGACCAGTGTCATCAATTTATGAAATTGAAACTTGATAATCGCACAACGATATATAGATTCTGTTCTCTTTTTGAAAGACTAAAATATTCATCAGCATCTCGACATCTAATTCATTTTGTTGCAAAAACAATACTTCTCAAACATATGTATTTCGATAATCGTTTAATGTCAATTCTATGAACGTCAAGTTCCATCTCTACCATGGCTTTGCTTTTCGATCTGTGATAGCGACATGAATTGTTTTGTGACTGTTATTTATACCTTGCATCTTTCTTCTTTTTTTTGAAGCTCAAATCTGTGGCATCAGTTGAGCGTACTTTCTCACTCTATAATCAACTTATTTTTTTAAGAAAATATAAAATTCTAGTTTGTTATTTCAGCACAACTTTCATCGAAAATATTTATAACACATGAATAGCTCACACTTCTATCACGACGCATTTAGTAACGCGCGCCAACATGTCATCAATCAAAAACCAAAAAAAAACCAAACAATAAGCTAAGCTACACTATACTTCATATGATATATTCAATGCAAATATTATTATTATATTAACCTTGACCATGAATAATAATAATAATAATAATAATAATAATAATAATGATAATACTGAAGAACTTATTAGGTATCTTCTTCAGTATGGAATATCCGATAGAATGATTGCGATTGTTGAAAGTAAATATTAAATTACATTTATAGATTGTCTCTTCTTTTCTTTTTTAAATAGAACAACACATTTGTGATGAAGATTTACAGATGATGGATCGTGATGATGTCGAACATTTATTTAAAAATGAATATGGTTTTACATTTCGTGATCGTAAACAATTTTGGAATATATTACAAAAAATTGTAGACAATCAAAAATATTTATTTAAATAATAGTTTTTTTTTGTATTGTTTTCTTATTTTAGCAATCAAATCAAAATTCTAAAACAAAACATGGACGAATTCTTGATTCATCGGTATAAAATTTTTTTAAATCTACATTGATGAAGAAATCCTTGTTTTAGGCAATTCTTGAACATATCTATGAATTTACTGCTGAAGACCTTGACAATAATGATTTAAAAGAAAGACAATCTATTACATCTTTATCATCAAATATAAATCGACAATCAACTGTTATTAGTCTTTTTGATAATAAAACATTGAATGATGATAGTAATAATTCAAATTCTTCATCATATATTTCAGAATTATCATTATCATCTGATTATGTATTTACATATCCAAGCATATTACCATGTTTTTCTGCTAAAATCAAGGAAGCACTTACAACAAATACAATTCATAGACAATGGGCAACTTTCATTAATGAACTTGCTCGATGGGTTATGTCAATAAAACCATGTCTTCGTGAACAACATGAATATCAAGCTATTGGACAAACATTATATGAAAAGTATCCCTGTATAGGTACAACTGGTCCGAAACCTTGGTCATTTTTATGTCGAGGTCTTAGTCAACGAATTCGAACAGAAAGATGGCAAAGACGAAAGACATTTACAGGAAGAAAACGAAAAGAAAGTGACATGAAAAACAATGATGGAATTTATGACAATATGTGATCGGAAATTCTTTACTTGTCTTTTTCTTTTTTGAATTATTTCAGGCCCTTTTTTTTCGGACTAACATATAAGCTTTAACATATTAATTAAAGATTTATTTTTGGAAATTTTTAAAAGTTTTGATTTCGTCTTGATAATAATTAGATATGAATGAATCCGTATTCGTAATGCGTACATAAGATAAATCAATCATAAATTGTTGTAAAAAGTTGCCCAAATTGTACAACTTTAATAATTAGTCTATTTAAGAAATTACCGAAATTGATATTCATCATTTGAGATCATATTAGACCTTATTGTATGTGCAGTCCAGACTTAGATACATACCGAAAAGTCAAAAGGCAGAATTTTGATGTGAAATATTACCCATATATAGACCGAATATTACGTTGAATATTTTATTGTTCTTTTATCGAGATATCTAATTTATGAAAAACAATTGTTTACTACAGGCACAATACTAAGATCGATCGGTATGCTCGGAGCTAAAGTTCCATTATTTGCCTTTCTGCCAATTATTGTTTCAATGATGTGATTATCGATAGTGCCGATTTTTGACGATCTTCATTTCGATGGCAGAAATTATCAGAAATATGTTGAGATGATATTTGTAGTCTATAAACATAGAATAGGCAAAAAGTTCGTGTACTTGCAAATATTGATTCATAGAAAAAAATATTTTACTAATCTCTTTACAGTAAATGTTCACAGTAATCTCCAGGATATTCAATACAAAGCTTCATCTTTCGAATTGATTTCTAGAAAATCTTTTGGCATCCTGAACAGATATTTAGTTAAGTTCTTTGATTATTGCTTGAGCCAAACTTGTAATATCTGGATATGTATCAACGTTACTTTTCAAGCGATTGAACAACTAGAATTGTGAAGGCGCAAGGTCAGAAGCAGAGATGACAGTGGCTGGTTTTTTGACTCGACCTGCCAATCCGATCTGTCCGAGACCGAACCCAACCCACTTCCTGGGTTGAAGAATCACCAACCCGCCACAATCTGCTCACAAGCTAATACAAACTTTATTAGTATACTAGTTACTTATAAATCCATTAGGTTTTTTATTAGCCTATTTTATTTTTTTATATGTGAAACTAAGATTTTTGTAATTAAAATATTATTTGTGATTTATGAGCATAGACATAATTGTTTTAAAATGTCAATAAAAATGCAAGACCGGCAATAGTGAAGTAAAAGTGAGTATATGGTCATGCATATAATATTAATAAACCAGGCATAACTTGAGGATAGAGTGAATTTGATTCTTCTTTTTACACGTATCCCTTTAATCGAACTGAGAGAGAAAAGTGCATTTATCATGGGGTATACGAAAGTTCTGTACTAATTGGTTTTTTATATAGTTCTATGATCAAATATCGTAGAGGCTTCATTGTTCTTTTGTTAGAAAGAGTAGTATTTAGTGGAAAAATACATGAAAAGATTTGGTTGGAAATTTTTTTCAAAGACTAAAAACAATTTTTGAACAAAAGAAATTAAAAAACTCTTTCGCAACTTTGGTCATAACTTTTCATCAAAAGATATTTCTTTGAGCTTTTTGATCATTCACTTTCGATCTTATCAAACACCGTATGTATATAAGTGTGCCTTATAATAGAGGCTTTGGTTTTGTATCAAAATATTTGGTTTTTCATAAAAGAGAATAGATATCGGATAAAAGTACTAGAAAACTTAATTTAGTCTGTTTTGGATTTATGAAAAGAAAAAAATGTTTCGCTAAATATCTAAAAGTGAATCCCTATCCTATCCCAAATGGTGTCGTTTTGCAGAACTCAATAAGTGTTCTTTTTGTACAAAATTTATAGCTTCTGGCAACGTCTCTCTTAGAATAAACTTCATTTTTTATGACTGTAATCGACAGAGATGAGAAGCATTCATGTCAGATAATATCACAAAAACGTTTATTTCGCCCATTATAAAATATATGTAGAGAGATTTTTTACAGCAACAGTGTTATATTCCTATCTTGTACAACTCACATTCAACGAATAAACATATAATCAATCTAATGCCATAATATCTTTTCTAGATTCAAAATAAATTGCGGAAGAGTTTCCGAAACTTTCTGTGTAAAACCTCTTCTGGTCTTTGAAGAAAATTTCCAATCGAGTTCTATGATTTATTTTTTCACTAGACAGGTTATTCCTTGTAACAAAAAAACAATGAAATCTGTGCGATATTCCATCGTAGTGCTATATCAAAAAACAAAATCCATGCAGAATGTTTGTATTGCTGGAATGGAAAGCGAACTTTGTCAACGAGTTGAACAAGATTGAACCTGCAGGTGCACGTAAAAATAAAATCTGATCTGAAAACTCTGAAATCATGAAAATCCCTAGTTCGTGTCTTTTCAGAGATCCAATTCGTCCCGCGGGCCATGGGTCGGGTGCAAGTCCGATGGATTGAATGAAAACGGGTCAAATCCTCAATATCTCTGGTTCAAGAAGTTATGATTGACAAGTCATAAGTTTGATTTTTGATCTTCTTGTGGATAATTAAAAATAATATCGTTTATACATGGTATTGCAATATTATTATAATGCAATGTAATGCCATTTGTTATTGATGATGGTTTTTGTTCGTGTATCTTTTTAATTGATCTTTATACATATTCACCTTGCCAATATATAACATGTATTGGTGTTCTAAAAAGTAGATCATGAATAAGTAATGGTCGATTAATCATAAAAAAATTGCAAGTAATGTTTATTTTAGAATGATTGTCTTCTCATTACTGTCGGAGGATCTTCTTCTTTTATTATACATGCTTTAGATCGTTCTTTTGATTTAATTTTGCGATGATAAATTCAAGTATCACCTTCCGTGACAATATTATACAATATTCAGGTATCACGTTCAAGCTACTATAAATTTTCATTACAAATATCAATACGCCGTTGTCTAAAAGTAAGTTCATGAAGTACTTGTCTTGACGATACTTTTCGTAAGACAAGATGTTATTCGAGAATAGTATCGAGACAACGATGTGATAGATCTACAATGATAGTAATACAATCAATACTAACATATGCATCATTGTTCATTAGAATATTTAATAGCATCGATATTTTCTAGATTAAGGGCAGTTATTGAACGATCACTTTGGAATCGTCTTTCAACGACTCTTATCTATTTAAAAATCGATGAATCCATTGGCAACAGTACGAAATGACACATAACATTGTTCATAAATTGTAATTAGTTCATCATGCATTTGTGTTGCAATAGGATCTAATAACAAACAAATTTTTATAAATGATCGTATAGACAGTTTTCTATATCAGATATAGCTGGCGAAAAAATTTGTAAAGAACTTGTCGCATTAGATATTTGTGAAAGCTAGTCTTCATGATTTAATACACAATATCAGGAATAAAAACAAGGAGCATCAAATTTTAGATTGATACTGTGAGAAGCTTTTGATTATCCTATGTGTGTGACTATACATGATAAATATTGAGAAAGAGTGAGCGTAACGAAGCATCGCTGAAATGAAATTCACGAACATAGATCATCGAACGATATTCGATGGTCTTCATTTCGATGAACTTTCTATTGATAATGTTTATTTTGACGATGGATGTATACAACCCCAAAATTGAGTTTGCTTGAAAATTTAATCTGTTGACAAACAAATATAAAATTATTTTCGGTAGAAACTTTCGGAATACTTTATCAGTCAGTAGATCTATCTATGAGCAAAGTTTTTCATTGAGGTTTTACTTTTTGATTTTTTGGTGTACGCCGAAAACTGAGTCAACAATTCAGTAAAATAATCATAACTCAGCTCTACCCAGTCAGTCAACAATAGAGAAAAAACTCGTTTTTACGCGTTGAAATGTGCGCTTTTAACGTTTTGTAACGCGTTTTCCAGCAAAAAACGACTTTTAAACGCTTGAGCAACGCATATAAACGCGTTTTTTTCACTTAAAAGACAAAATATCGCGTTTATACATGTTAGAATGTGCGCTTTTACCGTTTTTCGAAGCGTTTTCAAGCGAAAAAAAACGTTAAAATAATGCGTTTAAACGCGTTTTTTTTCCGATCTTGACTGCCTGGGTAAAGAATCATGGGGACAAATCTTTTTTAGACTTTAGCTTGTCTCATCAAGGCATTCTAGAAGACACAATATGAGCTCAAACGGTGTGTGTCAGTTTAAATCGTTTCCTCCGTAAGTAAAATGAACAAGTACAAAAAATAGATATTGTTCAGAATCTACAATTATTCTCTTGCCTTATATTGAGAGCTTTTTTACTTGGTATTATTATGCTAAACAATTAAAATTTTATTGTCGTAAAAAAATAATGTGATCATTCATTTTACAATTGGATATCATTCCAAATAATGTTAATTGTGTTCTTAGAAAAACTAAGTCATTTTTAGTATTCTTCTATTTTAGCTTTATGATAGAAAACCTGTTTATGAAATTCTTTTCGGATAAATACGTAAGAAATAATGAACTTATCTTTCTGGTAAACAAAACTTTTTTAGAAATACATTATCTTTTGCTTACAAATCAAATAAATCCAACAATGGATGTCCTCCGTTTTACATAAAAACGTTAATGATTACGTGTTTGGATATGTATATGAAGGCGGTAAATGATAAACATCAATCTTACCTTCCTCTTCCTTTTTGTTAACTGTCAGCAATCAAAATATATATTAGTATTGAAATGTGTTGCCATAAAACTCCATAACCAATGACACTATTATTTCTTTAACAAAATTACTTGAGCCATAATAGAGGTTAAACATTTTCTAATGATATAATTACGTAAATGCGCCACGAGTCTAAATTGATAAGATATACTAACATAAAATAGATTAGTAATAAATACAAACAGTTGCCTAAGGCTTTTTCTTTCTATGACGTGATATCGGTTTTTTCTTTTACTTACTCATAAATGAATCTTCTCTATCGCTTAATATTTACATTTTTTCATGATTCACTCTCTATTAGTACTCTGTCAA